ACAGGTTCCTTTTTTTTTTTTTTTTTTTTTTATTAGAAGAGAAATTGTTGCATCAACCACTAAGGGTTATTAGCAACATAACAATAGTATTCTAGTGATTACATTACAGACAATAATAATTTCATTCTGATTAAGTTATCATAGTTTGTTAAGTAGACCTATGTCAGAGAGGAAACCAAAAATATTCACAATATTACAGCCGTCGCCAAGAACTGTTCTCAAATCCATAGAAATGTCATGTTTCCGACGTTCTTCGAAGAACATGGGACACTCCACTAAAAAGTGTTTAACTGACATTGGTACCATACAACCATAACAAACTTTCACTTCACCTCCCGTCATTAAGTGTTCATGTGTGTACCTTGTATGTCCAGTACGCAGGCGAGTGAGTATCACCTGTTGTTTCCGTTGATGGTATGTTCTCTTCCATGGATTGATGTCATCTCTGATTTCATTCAGTTTTGTTCCCGCGTTTCTCCACTCAGATGACCAGTAGTGGTGAATGATGGATTTGATATGTAGTCTGAGGTCTTTATGTGGTACTCCTTCCTGCTCGGGTATGGTTGGTTCATTCATTGTTTCGTTCGCAATTTGGTCAACTCGTTCATTACCAGGGATGCCGACATGTGAGGGAACCCACATGAATTTTACCTCTCCAGAGGTAGAGCTGATTGAATCAATGTGGTTCTTGATGGTCTTGATCAAGGGATTGTAAGAATATATTTGTTGCATGCCTTGAAGTGAACTCAGCGAGTCTGTTAGAATCAATGTTTTCTGTATTCCTTCATCAACAACAAACTTGATTGCTTGCAGAATTGCGAATAGTTCCCCACTGTAGATGCTACATACTGGGGATAACTTGAAGCCTCTTGATGTATCTAGACTCCAGAATGCAGATGTTACTCCTTCGTTCGATTTGGATGCATTTGTGTAAATGTGTTTGTAATCTTGGTATTCATCAAGCAATGAGTAGAAATGAGTGCGAAGCAAACTATGATTTGTTTCGGACTTATTGAAGGTGGTAAGATGTAGGTTGCAGGGTGACAATGGGACGAGCCAAGGTGGCATATTGGTACTGTGGATAGGAAGTGTCATTGGAAGGTTAAAGTTAAGTTGGGCGATGTAGTTGTTTATCCTTTGGTAGAAAGGGTATGTTATTCTCTTGCGGGTTTCGTAAAGGTTTTGAAAACGGTTGGAAAATGTATTACGACGGTATGCTGGATGGTTGCTTTCAGAGGAGACTATTGATGCATATCCTATGCTCAAATACTGCCTTCGCGATTGCAGAGGTGGTTCACCAGCTTCACAGTGCAGACTTTTGGTAGGCGTTGTTCTATATGCTCCGAGAGATAGTCTGAGAGCTGTGTTATGGACCAAGTCAATCACTTTCAGAGCTGATTCACTGGCTGAGTCATATATCATAGAGCCATAATCGATTTTAGACCTCACCAAGGCTCTGTAGAGGAGCAGGAGTGTTTTGCTGTCGGAACCCCAGCTAAGATTGGACAACGTTCTCATTAAGTTGATTCCTCTTTGACATGCCGTTTTTAAATGATTGAGATGGGTATTCCAATTGAGTTTCTTGTCAAAAAACATTCCTAGGTAACGTATCTGATCCACCACTGGAATGTCATTCCCTTGCAGCTTCAGCTTCGGGCTACGAGCTTCTCTCTTTTTCGAGAAAAGGATGCACTTTGTTTTATCTGGACTCATTTTGAAACCAGTAACTTTCAACCAGCTCTCTAAAGAGTGCACGGCTTCCTGTAAATTATTCTCAATTGTCGTGACATTTTTACCTCGTGCGTATAACACTAGGTCATCTGCATAAAGGCTAGCTTCCACAGGCTGACTGATATTTGCGACAACTTCATTTATAGCGATTAGAAATAGGGTAACGCTCAGAACTGATCCTTGGGGGGTACCATTTTCTTGGAGTTTCCTCTCGGAGAAAAAGCCGTTGACTTTGACTCTGAAAAATCTCCTTCTCAGGAAATTCTCAATAAAATACAAAATATTGCCATTTATACCCCAAGAGCTCAACTTACTGAGGATGTAGTACCTCCAAGTCATATCGTAGGCTTTAGTTATATCGAAGAAGATTGCTATAGTGTTTTGTTTATTGGCAAGACTCTCATGAATATACGACTCTAGGTTTATTAGATTGTCAGATGTTGAGCGACGTTTCTGGAAACCACATTGCTTTTGTGTAATCAGCCTATGTTTCTCTAAATACCATGTGACTCGATTATTGATTATTTTCTCCAGTAACTTACACATTGTGCAAGTCAGGGATATGGGTCGGTAAGATTGTGGGTCTGTCTTCGGTTTGCCATGTTTGATTATAGGCACTATAGTTGCTTCTGACCACTTTTCAGGAAAGACCCTATCGGTCAAAATTTTGTTGAAGACTTTCAAAAGAATCTTTTTCGCGCTATCTGGAGCGTTCTGGATGAATATGAAAGGGATATCATCAGGTCCTGGGCTGGAGTTATTGAAAGAGTTTAGAGCTTCTTCAAATTCTTGAGTGGATATGGGAGCGTTGATGGGAGTATTTTCATTTTCGGAATAGTGGATAGCTTGGGCTTCTTCAGTATTCTTGAAGTGTAGAAATTCTGGAGCAAAATTGTGGTTGCTGGAATTCTGTCCGTACATTTTCGAGAAAGTTTCGGCAATTTCTTCGGAGTCGGTAGCCATTCTTCCTTGATATTCAAGAAGTGGTATACCATACTCCATTTTATTGCAGTTTATGCGTTTCACCCTATTCCAAACGATACTCAATGGTGTGGAGCTGCTAATGGATGACACATATTTCTCCCATGATTTCTTTCTGCTTTTCTTTATGGTCCACCGAGCTCTCGCTCTCAGGTTTTTGAATGTCATCAAATTTTCTGGAGTGTTGTGTCTCTTCAGCCTATTCAGTGCATTTTTAGAAGATTTAATTGCTTGGTCGCATTCCTGATTCCACCATGAAACAGGGGTATGGTTGTGTAACTGCCTCGTTTTCCCAATAGCTATTTGTGCCGCGTGCGTTATGATTTCTGTAAAATCCTTCACACATTCATTCATGCAATCTTTCATTTGGAATTGAAGAACTCTAGCTTCAATGACATTTGTAAAGAGGTTCCAGTCAGCTTTCTTCAATTTCCATTCTTGCGTTACATTGAAATCACCTCTGTCAGCATGTTGAGGTCTCCTGAGTAGAATGGGATAGTGGTCACTACCGTATAGATATGGTAGTATATCGAAGACAAGTTGGGTGTATTGTGAGGTGTCGCATATGCTAAGATCTATAGCGCTGGAGCTTCCTGAATACAAGCTCAAACGGGTTTTTGCTCCGTTGTTGAGCAACGTCATGTTATTTTGGTCTACAACTGTTTCTAGTATACGACCTCTGGAATTCGTTGAGTCGCATCCCCATAAGGTGTTATGGCAATTGAAATCTCCTAAAATGAGTCTCGGTCTGGGAATTTGCTGGAAAAGGTCGTTTAGCTCTTGATGTGTTACGTCACGATTTGGTGGGATATATATGTTGCAAATATTGATCTCTTTTGGGCCCATAATTTTAGTTGCAACTGCTTCAATATTGGTGTTCAATGAAATTTCCGTTGCACTATAGGAGTGATGTATATAGGTAGCAACGCCGCCACTTGCGATATTTTGATTTGGTCTATTTCGATGGAAGCAGGAATAGTTTTTCAAACAGTGTGAGGAATTTTGTTTGAAGTGGGTCTCTTGTAAGCATATAATGAGAGGATTTTGTTCAGAAATAATTAGTTTCAACATTTCCAGCTGGGTGAAGAACCCATTCAGGTTCCATTGAATGATAGAGAGGTCTGATATAAAGTGGAGTAATTAATGGGTTTCTTGGGATGAAACGTCACTCTCAGTATCTGAGAGGAAAGCTTATTCTGTTAACAGTTGTTTTGATAACTTCTTCTTGATTTTAGTGCATCTACTCTTGATACTCCTGTCATCAAAATGTGGATATACACTGGTTAACATATGTATTAGACCATGTATATCATTGGTATACTGTTTTGCTATACTAAGTGGGTCGCTAGATCCATATACATTTTCCAGAAAGTCTTTGAGTTGGTTGTAGTTCATGATGGAATTTTCAGAATCGATGTAAGCTTTCGCGGGTTGCATATAATAGTCGATGGGTTTAGTGTCGGTATCTCAGTATCTGAGAGGAAAGCTTCTTCTGTTAACAGTTGTTTTGATAACTTCTTCTTGATTTTAGTGCATCTACTCTTGATACTCCTGTCATCAAAATGTGGATATACACTGGTTAACATATGTATTAGACCATGTATATCATTGGTATACTGTTTTGCTATACTAAGTGGGTCGATAGATCCATATACATTTTCCAGAAAGTCTTTGAGTTGGTTGTAGTTCATGATGAAATTTTCAGAATCGATGTAAGCTTTCGCGGGTTGCATATAATAGTCGATGGGTTTAGTGTCGGCTCGTACTTTCTTAGAGATACTTGAAACTGGTTTCCGAAACATATCAGCTGATGTTTCCTCTGTTGATGTTAATGTTTCTGTTATGGTTCTTTTGGTCGATGAGCAGCTCGAATTTGCAGGGTCAGACAGATTAGTAGGGTTTTGGCTCACGGAAGATGAGGTATCCGTTGGGTGTGCTCTTACATTTTCAGAAGCAGGTGGAATGCGTGATTCATTTGCAGGAGGGGATATAATAGGAGGTTCACTGAGTTGCTGTGGGATTTCATTTGTACATTGCGATGATATGTGGCCGGGCTTCTTACACTTAAAACAAGTGAGGTTATCCAATGATAGGAATATTCTGTAGGGAGTATTTTCATAATTGATCAGGATGGAATTTGGGATGGTGGTGTTTTCAAGAGGAGCTATAAAGACTTGTCTTCTGAAGCTCATTATGTGGGCATAGCCCGGATTTGCTATGTTGACTCTCAAGAATGTTGTTGGTGATAATAGTTTGAGGCCAATCTGTTGAAGAGACTGCTCTAGATGTGCATGAGGAATTATTGGGCATACATTGGATAAGATCAGGCGCTCAGATGGAGATATTAGTCTTCTCGCTCGTATTGTTTCATCGTTGATAGTAATTGCGCCATACTCATTCATGAAAGTATTTACCAAATCTGGGCTAGAAAGATATATACATATTCTGTTGTTTGATATCCTTGAAGCGAACAATATCTGTCTAGGGTTTATGAGAGTACCTAGGGCTAGGAGGTATTCATGGATTTGGATTCCTTCAATCGTAGAAAAAATTATTGCCTGTTTTTGGTCTGGGAATTTCATTGGTTGTTGCTGACTGAGAACCGTAGAATACGAAGTATTTGGGTTAGTACGTTGGTTGGAGGTAGATGTTGAGGTTTCCATCGTTGAAGATCGGTGATTCCTGTAGTCAGAAATCACCGGTTCTGATGCACTCATTTCGGTGTGTTAAAGTTTGTTGGCACGAGACATGTGTACCTGAATACGGTCCTGACCCGCGCAGATCAACGATATCAGCAGATATACAAAAACGTGACTGGCGTATTGGACCCCGTAGGTAAACAAAAGGTTTTTGGTGTGATTTTCACTTACGAGTTCTGGTATTTTTGCACACTAATGCCACAATGCACTAAGGAAATGAGTATGACAGTTTATAATAATTAATTTCACTTCTAATCTCGTGAAAGAGGAACTTTGTCAGGAGCTGAAACGAAAAGCTTTATTCTTTGTCGCACAGGTCCGCACTCAGGTTACTCTTTTGTAGAACAGGAAAAAAGGACGAAATAAAAAAAAATTGTAATAGAGATTACCTGAGCATGATAAATGAACGAAACGATATATCAAATCAAAGTTAATCACAGATGACAAAGATATAAGATAAAACGTTGTGACATTGAATATTCCACAGTTAGACGAATCTGAATTATTAGCCACCGAGTTACATAAACTACACATCTTATATAACAGTGAATTTTTATATAGATTGGTTCGTGGGAATTCAAGGTAGAATTGGTCATGATTTCTGGAAGGTAATCTTGGGATAATAAAATTAGATTGTTAACTACCTTATGAATAGTGAGCTCAACAAAATGTTTTTATAACTATCAGGACATAAGTCCATCAATCCGAATTATGGAATCAGATTGAGAATATTATATACCAACTATGAAACGGGGAAGAGCTAAAAGACGGGGGTAAGTCAAGAGTAAATTACACACAGCAAATTTACTATCGACCTGCGTTGAACCACTGGCTGTTTGACAAACTTTGTGACGGCTGCAGCCATTCGAATCACGGATTTTTCTTGCGGCTGTAACAATTGCAGACAGACTAGTGACTCGTGAGGTGTATCAACCTGACGGTGACGTCTTGGACAAAAATTGAATGAACCTGTTCACACCATATTCTCAGAAAAGAATGAATAGATTCTTCAAGAGGAACCTGTTTTATCCACTGTTTTATTCCCGAAATAGCCAAGCATATCCATACATCATAGTCGGAGAACACCGAAGGGAAGTCATTGTTCTCAAACTACATGAAAACTAATTGACCTCAAGATCTCAGACCTAGAAACTGGCTTAAATCATTGGTATTGTCTCTCTTCAACATCATATTCTGTTTATTGGATCAGGAAGAGTAGCATCAGCTCGGATCATCACATCCTACAGGTGTACTGCATATCAGAGAGAATGATCAAAAAAATGTGTTGATGAGTTTCCAATTTAAGAGGTGTGTCAATTGCCAGTAAATGTCTGAACTATGCCAGGTATATATATTATTCATCTGATTGAGTGTTCTGTGTGGAAATGTACATGTTGATGATTTATTCACTGAAATATTCACGAGTACTGTGTGGAATTCATGAAGAAAACTATACTCAGGGTTGAAACGCTACACAATCTTTTCTTTCTTCCTCTCTTGGCCGATTGATATTTATTTCCTCTCCTTCAAGCTGAACATATCATACGGAGCATTTCGTGGACATCAATTATCCTGATCACTGAGAAAGGACAGTTTTATGTGCTGATTATTCATATTGGTTCATTGGACACTAAATGAAATGAATAGAACCAACACAAATTAGAACATTCAATAAAACGATATTGACAAAAGTGGAGGTATCATTCATTTTTATGACAACGATTGAACATCGATAATATTACAGATAGGATATCACAGAGATCTGTTAACAAAAGACTCGAGGCTATATTTGACACGTTCCCTCAATTCAAGAAAATTAATGATATTGTATAGGTCCCAAATACATTCGAGTTGTTGAAACATTAGTCACCTGAGTTACATACATTATTGACTCGACAAGCTTTGTCTGAATGTTTGAAATTCATTCTTGTCCAATGAATTCGTGAGAATATCACTACAGTTTCCATTAGAGTAAACACAACGTTTATTATGTAGCAAGTTTTATAAACGTCCTTTCAATGAAAAGTATTTCAATAACGAGCGCAGCAGAGCAAGTCTTCGAAATAAAGAGTGCCCAGAAGAGTTTATTAATGCGTTACATACTATACTTTTTCACGAACACATAATTCCTTTCTCCGACAAGAATCAGATCAACCCACCTGCTGAACTACAAAATAATGTCATGCAACTGCATGCAACCAAAGAGATACGTATTAGTGAAATTGGTTCTAGATGTGTACAATTCATAGGATCCATAGGTTTTCATCGAAATATTTATTTTCGTGAATGAGTTATCTTCATCAGAAAAAGAAGATGAAAATTCTTCGATTCACCTAGAGGTATCCAAGTTCCTGAATCCTCAACTTTGTCTCCAGATTCTGATTGCATCATTTCTGCTCGAATGAATATTGTGTTTTTTATCCATCGTCATGCTTTGCATAAAATAAACTGCGCACAAGAATAAGAGCTTTATTGCTACAATATTTGAGAATGACAGTTGACCTCTTCTACAATTGACAGGTCGGACCGGACTCAAACAGACTCAAACGACTGAAGGTGTGCTCAAAAAAACTGTGTTGTCATGGTTATATGTTCAAGGAATTGTGTTGCCATGTTAACATGTTTGATTTTTTGAACAAATCACAGATCGTCAATCCGTGATTGATCGATCATTCAACGTGGTACATATGCGTACGCTGAATGCCATTTAATTTATGTGAGTGAAAAACGAATATTCATTCCAATCTCCAAACATAGATCTATTATAACATTACATTCTATTTTTATGTGGTCCGCCCTCTGATAGTTCTGAAAATTTGTATTCTTAGAGATTGCACTTAGATTGTCAATTTCCATAGTGACTGGTGGGCTTTCACTAGAATCAGAAAGAATACCATTCAAATTCACCAATTCTTCTGCTGCAAATCCTACTGACACATTCTCTGCCTCCATTGGTGATAAGACAACGCAGTTCTGTTTTCTTGAGTGCCAAGCAATTGGGTTACCAGCATGGAAACACACAGAACCGCTAACACTCTTCCATGTTTAACGATCACCTACCCAGTCTGCATCACACATCCCTAACAGTCGAGGGTAACCGTTCTCGTATAATAGAACATAATATTTAGTGAAGTTCATAACCCCTCATCGAGATCCGTATACAAGATTTTCAAGGTTGCATTATTGGCTTGTCCGAATATCTGCTCACATATATTTTTTTCTATCTCTTGGAGCGCACGATAGGAAATTGCTATAATTCCGCGAAACTTAATGCGTACTTAGGGAGGATGGGAAGAGGAGACAGGTGTTGTTGTTTGTTCGAACTTCTGGAGATTATGAGTTCTCAGGAATGCATTGGCAAATAATTCCAAAGCTTCTCCGTTCTATTAACGAACGAGTTTTGGTATTAGCCTTATCTGGTCTAGAGATTATTGATAAGTACATCGAACTGAATATTAGTCTCCTACAAAAAATATTTCTTTCGATTGGCTAATCTTCATCAAGTTGGAAAATCATTTCCATTGATGTGAAAACAGGACAACTCTCCTCCATACCAAATGTTTGCATTTGACGAGTGATTATTTTTGTCTGGCTAATTCTCATACCTTGTATGGTATTGTTCATCTCTATTCCCAGATATGATTTCACTTCAGACATATTCCAATTCACAAACTCATCATTGCGATTGTCCATCAATTTGTTTATTCACAACCATATATGTAATGTTGTCATCACTAACGTCATCGAAGGTTGAAAAGTGTCACATTACACACCTTTACTTCCTGCCCTCACTCAGGTATTTTCAGAACGAAACATAGATTTATTGATTTTGATCGGAATATGATGGTTGTAAATGAAATAGTATACAAACCTTGGTAGAAAGTTTCATTCCTGTCTCGAAATTATAGCTGACCTCGACGCTTTGTGTAATGTACTATTACATGTTCGCCAGGCCAATTATCAATGCATCGCCTACGAATGAAATTTAATACCTATTCTCTTTGAAATATAGACAATAGTCTAATTGTGGTCGTCCGGAGTAAAGTTTTAGCATCACTTCATCGAATTTGATGTTCCAACATTAAGGAGCATTATGCGATCCATATAATGCCCGATTCAATCCATTGTAATTGATGTCTCATCTCGGTCCTTCTTGAGTTTCAAAAAACACTCAATTGTCCAATGAACCGTTAATGTGTGCTGTTGAATCATCAGTCTATTTCAAATCTCAGTCCTATTGTACTGACATCGATATCAAGAGTCTTATGGTAGGTAGCTTACACAGTAATGGTTCTTCTAGGGCTCCAGTACATCGTTTCCGCTTCAATAACATACCTTTACGAAATTTCCGATCGTTAAAATTATTTTCCTCCAGAAAAAACACTGCGAACTGTTGAGTGCCGACATCGTTCAAGTTGTTATTCACACGTTATATTTTCGACTTTACTCAAGCTACCCGCTTTATGCATGTATTGGCTGAGCCGATAACCAGTTGATTATTTATATTGGGTCCCTTGTGACAAACAGGAATTATTACAACCAACAGAACTCACATCTTGGACATT